AGAAGGCGTATCATTCGGTTTGGCATGGATACCTCTTCAGCCCCATGAGGAAGTTGGGTTTCCCGAACCATTTTGCATGCTAGGTTGAAGGCCCACATAAGGGAGCAGTGACGAAAGTTAACATCATCTAAGTTAACACGAACGGGTATGCAGACAATACTGTTGACGAGAAAGCATGGCAAAGTTCAAGTCGGCGAAGTTCTGGTCGGCGAAATCCTGGTCGGCTAAGTTCTGCGCGGCGAACTGCAAAGGCGGTGAAATTGGGAAGCGGCAAACTGCAACATTACGGCAAATGCACGTGTTGTGCAATAGTTGCGCACCTGAGCACATTCGTTACGAAATGAAAGTGCGCCAACTTCTCCCCTGTGGAAAATGCATGCGATTGAGACATTGGAGCAATCTGCAAATGAACCCGCAAATGTGTGCGCAATGAACCCGTTATACCCTGAGCACCTACCATTGTCATATGCATAGATAGGAAACCTGAACATGTGTGCATGGATAGCTTTTCCTCCTGCCATCACTGACTTGGCAAAGCGCAGCTTTGGGACAGTTAGGGACAGCACAACAACGCGGAACCGTGCAGCGGTGCGGGATAGTGCAGCATTGCGACGCAGCGCATTGCAGCTGGTATGTTGTGGGGCTCTTGGGTAGCATATGCTTGTCATTGCATATTTGTACCATACACACAATTTATTTCCTAGTGAAGTTCTTGCTTGCATACCAAGCTCTCTTTGCACATAACGTTGCGTTGCAGCACTAGCAATCTACCCAAGTGGCTCCTGTGCAGCAACTCTCCCTGTGGTTGCTTTTTCTCTGCATAGTGCAGTGAGTGTGGATCGAACATGTGACTTTCTGATACACCATAGTCCTATTACCGTTTGTCGACCAGAGTCGGTAGCCTGCTCGAGCCCTCATGGGCGACGACGAGGTCATTGCGGAAGGCACAAACACCCTGCAAGCGCAGGAGGCCGCCGTGAGGGAGCGCTACCGCAATAGTGAAATCGGTGATGAGGCCTTGGAGCTCATGCTGGAAGGCACCCAAGCAAGGTGGGTGCCTGATCACCCACCTCCTCGTTCTGCAGAGGACAATGAGTCCACCGCTCCCCAAGCTGATGACAACAACGGCACGCAGGCTGGTGAAGAAGGCGCAAGGGTTATCCGTAGAGTTTTGTGAGGACCTGCGAGGACCAGCACAACGAGTGTCGGTGGGACGCAGGCACAGGTCCTGCGAGAGGCCACTGCAGCAAATGCACGTGCTGATGCTAGCTGTTGCCGCACACTGACTGGTCAAAGCACTGCCAATCCTGCAAGGACATCATTCCCTTCGACCGCGAACGATGGTGGCATCGCTCCCGAGTATGGCTACTTCAAGTTTTCGCTGGACAAGATTGTGGTTCCGAAACCACTTGAAGGCCGGCACGATTTGACGACGTGGGTGGAAGCGATCAAGCCTCAGCTGGAAACCGCGCAACTGAAGAAGTTTGTCGATGGCTCGGTGGATGCGCCGCCTGAAGACGACATTGCGCGACGCTCGCAATTTCATTCGGCGTAGTTGTTGACGTTCATGGTCATTTTGCATTGCTGCTATCCTATCGTCCAAGTTGCATTGAAGCCCTCACACCTTTGCGAGGATGCGGGTTTCCAAGCGTGGCAATTCATCATGAAGACGTACAAGACAACCGACGACCTCTACCTTGGTCAACTGGAGCAGCGTCTGACCAACCTCGAGATGGGGGAACACAAAACAGCAACGGCGTACTGCAATCGTGCGCAACAAATTTTAGCCGACTTACGGATGGCCGGCGTCGACTATGCGATGCCGTCCTATATCACGCATGTCATTAAGGGGCTTTCACAGCATTACAATCTGTTGCGATGCATGGTAAAGCTTCCCGGCGTACGTGAAGAACTCGACGAGGATTCCTTGTCGAGTTACATTATTGAACAAAAATCACCGCTGGATGCGGAGAAGCGCAAGGGTCAGCTTCTTTCGCAAGCCAACTTTGTCGCATCATTGTCGCAGCAAGGTCGCCCTACCCAGCAGCAGCAGCAGAAACAGGGACGCCAGCAAGGGCGCAAAGGGAAGGCACGCGAAGGTGGTGGAAAGGGAAAAACTAACAAAAACGACGATTGCGATAAGTCTACCAAGGACGAGAAGAGTTATGGCTTCGTATGCGGCGATGGCGAACTTCCCTCGTACCAGTGTCCGGACGGTGTCACAAAGACGGCCGACGATTGGGACACTCCGTGCTGATGATCCGACGCCAACCAACCTCGTCGTGATGCTCAGGTCGCCGAGAAAACCAGCGCACCGACTCGCAGGAACCACGATAGTCCAACAACATGCGCGACCAGAGACGCAGCGATCCACCTAGCGCCAGCCAACGCGACCGGCATCGAACAAGCATCTTGCTCGATGGTCGGCATGGTGCTTGCCGTTGCATCGCCCGCAGAGTCACTCATTTCCCTTGCACAGCCTGCGAAGACTTCCAAGCGGTCGCTGCAACTGTCCAGGCAAATCCGTCAGTCATGCTGCTGGACAGCGGCTGCTCGCATCATCTGATGGGAGCACACAATACTGTTAGAAACAGAAATGTTGAGTTTATTGATCAAGCAAAGGCATTACATAGGAAGAGAGAGATGAGCTAGGAAGGGAAGGTTGGAAGGGAAGGGGGGGTTAGGACCAATCACAAGGGAGGGAGGATCCTTCCAAATGTGGTTGACCACAAGTGGGAGGTGGTCCAAGTATGGTGGACCACAAGTGGCTTAGGCAACCCACTTGTGGTGCCCCCACAATTGTGGTCCTTGTGTTTGGGGGCTCCAACCATAATTGGGTTGGATTGATACCCCAACACAGGTGTACACCCAACTAGGGATGTAAACACAATATACACAACTAGCATAGCATGGTATATTCTAACACAACCCCATAGCATGCAAAGCTAGTGTATATATAATGGACAACCCCAGAATCCGGAAGGGGGGCGGGGCCCAAGGCCGAGAAGTCGGAGAAGGGCAGAGTGCGCGGTCTTCGGGAGGGCCTTGGTGAAGATGTCGGCCAAGTTGGCCTCTGCAGCGATCTTGCGGACCACCAAGTGACCTTGCTGGACCAACTCCCGAACGAAGAAGTAGCGGAGTTCAATGTGCTTGGAGCGGCCATGGAAGACAGGGTCCTTTGTGAGATGGATGGTGCTGGCGTTGTCGCACCAGAGGGTGGGACAGCGCTGAGGAGCACCGATCTCAGCAAGGAGGAAGGTGAGCCAGCGAGCCTCCTGAGCGGCCATGGTGCAAGCATAGAGCTCACCCTCGCAGGATGAGAGGGCGATGGAGGAGGAGCGAGTGGATCGCCAGCTGATGAGGCCGCTGCCAAGGGTGAAGCCGTAGCCTTGAGAGGAGCGGCGATCCGGCTGGGAGTCAGCCCAGGAGGAGTCACTGAAGCCAGAGAGGAGGGGAGGAGAAGAGCCTCCGAGGGTGAGGACATAGTCCTTGGTACCACGGAGGTAGCGCAGTACCCGCTTCGCTGCAGCCCAGTGCTCATCAGTGTGACGAACGGTACCGACGAAGCGAGCAAGAACGCTGATGGGGTAGGCAAGGTCGGGGCGGGTGCACATCATAGCGTACATCAGCGAACCGACGAGCTCAGCATAAGGATGGTCAGAGGAGGAGGGAGCAGGAGGAGGGGCAAGCTGGTGGTCAGTCTGCAGGGGAGTGGTAACCGGCTTGGCCTGTGCCATGTCGAACCGCTGCAAGACTTGGTCGATGTAGAAGGACTGAGAGAGGGTAATGGTGCGCGATGCGCGGTCCCGGGTGATGGTCATGCCCAGATAGTGCTTGAGCTCACCCAGGTCCTTGCACTTGAGACGAGCATGCAGGGCGTCCTTCACTTGCTGCATGGTGGCAGCATCGTCAGCGAACAGGATCATGTCGTCGACATACACCAGGATGAAGAAGCGGGTGGGAGAGGAGCGAAGGAAAAGGCTGGCATCAGACTGAGAGGCATGGAACCCCAGGGACTACAGAGTGGCGGCCAGCTTGTCGTGCCACTCGCGAGGAGCCTGCTTGAGGCCATAAACCGGGCGGCGCAGCTCCCAGACTGTGTTGGAAGGGAAGGCTGCATGAAAGCCTGGAGGCCGCCGCAAGAGGACCCGCTCCTAGAGCTCGCCTTGCAGGAAGGCGTTGGAGACATCCATTGAGGCAATCTGCATGCCAATGCGAACAGCATAGTCGAGGATGGCATGGAGAGTTGGGAGCTTGGCAGTGGGAGAGAATGTCTCCCAGTAGTCGATGCCATGGGTTTGGGTGAAGCCCTTGGCACAATACCGGGCCTTGTAGACCGGCTCCTCACCCGGCAACTGCTTCACTCGGAACACCCACAGGCCTTCAACAATGACGTCGTCAGGAGAGGGGACAATGTCAATGAATGAGGCATTGCGGATGAAGGCCTCGCATTCAGCAAAGATAGCCTGGATCCACTTGGCAGCATCGGGGCAGGTGATGGCCTCAAGGAAGTTGGACGGGGTGAATATGGTGGGAGCGGTAGCGATGCCAAGGATGAGGAGGCCAAGGAAGCCCGGGTAGAGAGGCGTGAGGGAAGGTGTTTGTTGCTGAATGCCAATGAGCTCCTCATGGGAGTCCTCAATGAAGGGAAGGGAGGGTGGGGGTGGCGTTGGCCAACCCCATGGATGGCCTATGAGTGGGCCATGAGAGCGAGTGTGGATGCGTGGGAGGATGAACGGAGAGGTGGTGCAGCGATGCCGGTGAGGTTGCTGCTGTGGTTGCTGCTGCTGTGGCTGCTGCTGCTGCTGCTGTAGCTGCTGCACCTCCTGCTGCGGCTGCTGTTGCTGCACTGCCTACGGTTGCTGCTGCTGCTGCTGCTCCATCCGCTGCTGCTGCTGCATCTCCTGCTGGTGCTGGTGCTGCTGCTGCTGCTGCTGCTCCTCCTCCTGAGGCTGCTGCTGCTGCTGCTGCTGGTGCGATGAGGCAGAGTGAGCAGGGGAGTCAGGGACAGCTGGGTCGTAAATGTCACCTGAGGAAGGAGGAGGGGGAGGAGCAGGATTTGGAGGAAGGAGGGGAGCCTGGGGAAGGAGTGGGGGAATGACAGCATCAGCCCAGGTGAGGGGGCGGGAGAGAGGAGGAAGTGGGTCGGAAGGCGGAACAGAATGATAGAACGGGATGCTCTCATCGAACACCACATGACGGCACTGTAGGAGGCGGCCTGAGGACGGGTGAAGGAAGAGGTAACCAGGGGCAGAGCGAGTGTGGCCAAGGTAGACACACTCAATGGCCTTGGAGGCAAGCTTTCCTGCCTGCCTAGAGCGGTCAGGTGGGGGGATGAGGACATATGCCTTGCACCCCCAGATACGGAGAATGGCAGCATCTGGCTTGGTGCTAGCCCAGAGCTCTGTGGGAGTGACGGAGTGGCGTTGAGGATGTGGGTAAAGATTAGTGAGGAGAGCAGCATGGACAAGGGCATAGCCCCAAAGTGTGGAGGAATGAGTGAGGAGGCAGCGGGCCATCTTGGTGATCTCACGAATGCGACTCTCAGCAACACCGTTCTGCTGAGGGGAGTGGGGAAGGGTATGAGTCTGCTGGATGCCATGGGTTGAGCAGTAGGAGGAGAGGGTGCGGTTGAGAAACTCACCACCGCCGTCGGAATGGAGGCGGCGGATGGGGCGACCAAAGTGGACACGGCACTGCTCGGCCCAGGTAACGATGACAGCAGGGGCCTCGGCCTTTGTGTGGAGAAGGAACACCGAGGAGTACTTGCTGTGGTCGTCGACTAGGACAAGGGGGGCAGCAGCAAAGGAAGGATGACTGAGGTGAGGTTGTTGTTTGAGCTTTCCATGAATGCATGTGGCGCATGGGGGAGCGGAAGAGGACGGGAGGGGAGGAAGAGTGGGGGGAAGACCGTCAAGCAAGCGGGAGGAGACGGCTTTACGAAGTGTGGAAAAAATCATATGACCAAGGCGATGGTGGATGAGAACAGCGGGGTGGGACAGTGCGCGACAAGAGCATGGGGGGGAGGTGGAGTTGGAGGAAGGTGGCTCTAGAGGGAGGGGATGGGGGAGAGTGGAGGTGCCTACACGAGTGGTCACGTGGCAGGAGGAGGGGCGCGGTGTGCTGAGGATGTACTGACGAGAGCGAGGGCAAAGTGGGAGGCGATGAAGGAGGCGACGAGTGGGGCCGTAGAGGAGGTCACAGTAGGTGGCAGAGGCGGGGAAGAGGGTAGTGATGCCAGCCTGTTGGAGTTCACGGATGGAGAGCAGGTTATGACGAAGGGAGGGAATGTGGAGACCAGTGACCACTCCGGAGGGGAAGGGGGGGCAGGGGAGGGTGGAGAGATGAGTGCAAGGGATGGAGAAGCTGGAATCAGCGCCATGAATGTTGGTGGGGAAAGGGAGGGAGGTGAGGGTGCCGGCGTCTTTGAGGGCAGTTTCAGTGGCACCACTATCGAGAACAAAGTCTATCGTGAGCGAGGAGGGAGCTGAAGACATGGGGTACTGGAAATCACTGGCATTAAAAACAGAGGGATACATGGAAGTGGAAGCAAGGGAAGAACGCATGAGCTCGCCTAGAAAGCTGGAGTGGGAGGTGGGAGCACTAGAGGAAGGAGAGCCCCAAAGGGGAAAGCCAGGAGGACCTGTTGTGGCTGTGGCAGCCATGGCCGCGGTGCCAAAGCCAAGCTGCTGCTGCTGCCATACAGATGCTGCGGCTGCGGCTCCTGCAGCTGCGGCTGCAGCCTGACCACCAGAGCCCCACTGCTGCGGCAGCTGCAGCTGCAGCTGCTGGAAGCGGCGAAACTGCTGCAGCTCCTGGGGAGTTATGGGGTCAGCGATAGAGGAGGAGGAGGAGGCGAGCTGAAGATGAGAGGGGAGGAAAGACGGAAGAGTTTTGACATCCTGGAGAGAGGGGTGGGGATCCATGGCAGACCAGCGTGGGGGTGTGCTAGTGTTGCCGCGCTCGAACCAGGCGTCATCATACGCTTTGAAGCAGGTCGTTGGGGGATGGTTGGTTTGGGTGCAACGCTCACCCGCCCTGGGACCAAAACGGCGAAGATAGGAACATGGGGGGAGAGTGCCAGGGCGGCCACCACGGCTACCAGATGAGCCACCACTGCCACCACCACCACCACTGCTGCCACCCTCGACCCCGCCACCACCGCCGCCGGCTCCGTTGCCCCCACAACCACCACCTCCACCCCCTCCCTGAGGGTTGGTGCGGCCGCCACGTGGGCGCTCTCCACGACGCGGCTGTGCAACTGCAAGCTGGGGGTTTGAGGACTCGGTGGAGTTCAAGCCGGAGGGGGGGGTTGAGAGAAGGCGGGCCTCAGCGTCAATGATCCACTGGACCACAGTGTCAAGGGAGGCACGGGGCTGAGCCTCAGTGAAGGCGATGACGCGCACTTCATACTGAGGGGAGAGGCCTTCGAGGAGACGGTAGATCTGGAGGTTGGAGGGGAGAGTAGTCTGGCGAGCCTCTAGGTGGGAGGCAAGGTCCAGGAGACGGCTGGTGTAGTCAACGGCGCCAGCACTATTTTCGATCATGATGCTGAAGTATTCCTTGAAGAGCGGTCCGACAACGTCGAAGTCGGTGCGTTCGAACATCGCCTCAAGCTTGAGCCAGAATCTGGCGGGAGCCGATGCGACGTGCCTGGAAGTTGCGCATGAGCGCAGGCGGGATGGCAAGGAGAAGGGCACCAGTAGCATGGCTGTCCGCCTCGAGCCAAGCGCGACGACGCTCGGCAAATCACGCAGGGTCAGCGGCATAAGCGGCGGCGGTAGCGGCATGCTGGTTGCGGAGGGTGGCCGACCGCTCGTGTTCCTCCAAAGCGACCAGGTAATCAGTATGGAGCACGAGGAACTCACGACGCTGAGTAACGAAGAGCTGCTCAACCTCAGCGGTGGCAGCGCGAGTGCTGGTGCCAACGGGTACCACGGGGGGCAGAGGTTCCTCGCCGGGATGGGGAATGAGAGGGGGGGGATCGGATCGCCAGGGTGAGGCGGCGGGTCCCCAAGGTCACCCTCTGGGAGACCAAGCATGATGTCCAGGAGGCGGAACGGCATGACATATGCACTGCCAAGGACGCGGTGGAGGCTGCCGACGAAGGAATACCAGTTGGTTGCTGAGTTGTCGGCAGCGCGCACCAAATGATCGAGGGTCGAAACGTCGACAGGAGGGGGAAAGGATGCCATTGGTGACACGGAGTGGGAGGAAGGCGACGGCGGGTGGACCCGCGGTGCCTGGGAGGGAACGGCGGCGGGTGGACCCGCGGCGGCTCAAAGAGGAGGGGAGGATGGGGATGACTGTAGCTACTGCTGCTGCTCCCACTGCTGCTGCTGCTGCTGCTGCTGCTGCTGCTGCTGCTGCTGCTGCTACTGCTGCCGCAGCTGCTGCTGCTGCCGCTGCTGCTGCTGCTGCTCCTTCTTCTGCTGCTGCTGCTGCTGCTGCTGCTGCTGCTGCTGCTGCTGCTGCTGCTGCTGCTGCTGCTGCTGCGTCTGCTGCTCCTTTTGGTGCTGCTGCTGCTAGCTGATGGCAGTTAGCTGATGGGGAAAGATGGCAGTTAGCTGATGAAAGTAGGACTTGGTGGAAATTTCAGTAGCACTTCGTGATCACATCCAAGAAAGTGCGCGAACTTCGGAAAGCGATATCCGACAATCCAAGCGGTGAATCAGTCGGAAATTTGACGACAAAGTAGCTGATACCAAGAGCGTTCTTTTGCAAGTCGAATCACTCAATTCTGTCATTTAGCGAGCGAGCTATGGCGTTTGGCGCACTGGGGATGTTTGAAAATCCACCCAACAGAAAACTAGTTGTGAAGGGAAAGAGAGGCCGCGGCTAGGAGTCTAGCAGCGGCGATGGAGGGGACGGCAAAGAGATGCACGTCAGAAGGGGATGGGGCGGAAGCGTGGGGAAGGATCAGGATTAAAAGTTGGCGTGAGCCATTATTGCTCTATACCATGTTAGAAACAGAAATGTTGAGTTTATTGATCAAGCAAAGGCATTACATAGGAAGAGAGAGATGAGCTAGGAAGGGAAGGTTGGAAGGGAAGGGGGGGTTAGGACCAATCAAAAGGGAGGGAGGATCCTTCTAAATGTGGTTGACCACAAATGGTGTTGGTGCATATTCGTTTGCACGTCATCCTGTCGTCTGTTCGCATCATTTCGTTGGATGTGTTTTGTGTGCTATATTGTTTGTATGGTTTGTTGGGTTTGCATGTCTTTGCATGTTCGTCTTGTGCTTGTGCAGATGTGCTTGGTTTGTGCATGACATCGAGCACATTCCAACGAGCCAAGAATTGTTGGAATCGGAGCAGATATGAAGAAGTTACGAAGAAATGTTTGATGGATTTGTTACAACTCATTGGAAGTCCTTGTCAGCTGCTACACCAAAGTTGGAGAGCCCTATAACGAGGAGGGACCAGCATGTGTGGGTCTTTTGTCCCCACCCTGCAGCTGCAGCATTTGGGGTTTGGAGGCCAACCTGGTACTGTGTGAATTTTGTCTTGCCAGGCTGGCTGAACCTGAGGATGGGGAGTCAAGACTTTGACTCTTGTCATGTTCTTGACCATGGACCTCCAGGGTCCTTCCCTTTCATCCTTCCCTTCCATCCCTACCTTCCAACTGTGCTTCAATGCCTTTTCTATCATGCCTCTGAACTTGTAAGCTTCAATTATTGTGACTCTGAGGATTGTCAACTTCTCCTAGGGCAGATTACCCCCCAGTGCGCCAAACGCCATAGCTCGCTCGTTAAGCTACGGAATCGAGTGATTCAACTTTCAGAGGAAAGCTGACGCTGAAAGCTACGACACATCTGATTTTCAGATCGTTTCACCGATTGGAGTTTTGGATATAGCTTTTCGAAGGTCGCGAGTTTTCTGGGCGTCATAACGAAGTGCTGCAGAAATTTCCAAGGAGCCATTGAATCATCTGCTTATAGCCTTCTCTAAGCAACAAGTGGGAGGTGGTCCAAGTATGGTGGACCACAAGTGGCTTAGGCAACCCACTTGTGGCGCCCCCACAATTGTGGTCCTTGTGTTTGGGGGCTCCAACCACAATTGGGTTGGATTGACACCCCAACACAGGTGTACACCCAACTAGGGATGTAAACACAATATACACAACTAGCATAGCATGGTATATTCTAACAAATACTTTCGTCGACATGCTGGCTGCAGGCGACGTCAGTCATGTGCGCAGATTCAACGGTGCAATGCAAGTCGCCCAAGGGCGCAGCACCGCTGCATTGCAAGGGGTGGCAGGCGCGAGATCTTGGTTCCGGACGTGCTGTACTTTCCTGGCATGCAAGCGAATCTCCTGTCAACTCGTCAGCTGCGTGACCGTGGAGTGAAGCTGAAAGAGGATGGTGATGAAACGCTCCTCCTCTCCAATGCGAACACGATTCTTGGTCACGTGTGCTATATGGGCCCGTGCTCTGCACGAACCTCCGTCCTTTGCGAACAATTGCATCGTCGATCTGCTCATCAACGGATGTCTGGTAGCTCATGTGGTGCATGCTGGCGTTGACACGATTAAGCGCACTGCTGCTCATGGAGCGTTGCTAGGTCTGGAAATCGTTTTGCCGACCACGCATGAACTGTCATGCGTTTCCTGTGTCGATGGCAAGCTCGTGCGTCATACCTACCCCGCGCAAGGTTCGGACGCAGCGGTGCTGGACGTCGTACACATTGACCTGTGTGGACCCTTCCATATCGTCACAAAAGACGGAAGCCGACATTTCCTCCTCGAAGATCGCAAAACTCGTTACATTTGGACGTACCCATTCGTGCACTAAAGCGACGCATTGGCAGCGTTCCAAAAGTGGCTGCCAAAGGTGGAACGCCAATGCATGACGCTTGTGAAAAAGATTCATTCGGATCGTGGCGGCAAGTTTCTGGGGAAAATTTCACGATCTGAACCAAGGCGTTCGTCAAGGCGTCCATCCGCTTTGCTTCTGCAATGCTTGCACGGCTTTCACCAACACGCTTCTTGACAATGCGCCCGCGGAAATTGCGTTGCGAGATCTCGTGTAAGAAATAGAGTTGAAATAATTGATTAGGTAAGGAGCCCAAGGCTCTATAAGTACATGGCAAGGTGATAGAGAATGGATGAAGGGGGAATTGGAGGGAATCCCCATTTGAAGAAATGACAAAGTTCGATGTGCTTGGTGCGAGAGTGGAACACAGGATCCTTGGTGAGATGAATGGTACTCTGGTTGTCACACCACAGGGTGGGCGACTGTTGGGGGTAGCCTAACTCAGTGAGGAGAAAGGAGAGCCAGCGTGCCTCTTGAGCAGCCATTGTGCCCGCGTAGAGCTCGGCCTCGCAGGACGACAGGGAGACTGCAGAGGACCGAGTGGAGCGCCAGCTGATGACTCCGCTACCAGGGGTGAAGCAGTACCCTTGGGAGGAGCATCTGTCAGTCTGGTCATCGGCCCATGAGGAGTCTGTGTATCCCTCAAGCTTGACTGGAGAGGTACCACCAAGAGTGAGGATGTGAGACTTGGTGGCTTGTAGATAGCGGAGGACCCTCTTGGCTGCAGACCAATGCAAGGCAGTGCAGCGTCTGTTATAATCACAATAGGCTTAGATGTGCCAATAATGAGAGATAGAGAGCACAGTCGGATTTCCGTCAGACGGCTTCAAATATTGATAACGATCTGGTCGCTGAATCAAACGGTGATTTGTAAGTTTGATCTGGAGCGCGTTGCTGTCGTCTAACAGCAGCAAGTTGAATCATGAAATTCCATGAAGATTTGACGACGCTATGGCGGTTTGACTGGCAGGAGGTATAGGAGCCACTGTAGTCTTGGAAGTACAAACTTAGCAAGAACAGTTCGAGAGGGAGATGGTTCCCAGCCTCTACATACCCCAAGAGCCATGGTCCAGGTTGGTGGTACACCACCACAGAGTCCCCAACCATGAAGAGTCTCGAAACCAACCCTCCTAGGGGCAACATCAAGTGAAATATAATACTACACGAAGTAACGTTACTATTTTCACTATTTAATATTTATCCGCGTCCCTTGGGCTTGAAATCTTGAGCTCTTGTTCTTGGATCTGCAAGATAATTTCTTCTTGAGTTGATGGGGGCTTGCTGCACACACCTGCGATACGATGGACACTTCACACTCGACAAAATAGAAAGAACACATGCGACACACAAACGACGACTTGACATGCGATTTGTAAAACCTCGCTAATGTCTTGACCGACACAAACCACATTGTGATACACCATTCAAACACACACACAAGCACTGGATAGCAATGACATAGACTCACAATTCATTCCATGCCATGCATGCACACACACAAACAAGGACGACAAGCCGAGTGCAAGCCATAGGGTTGCACCAACAAACTCCCCCTCGGATTGTTGGCCTTAGAATCTGCTCCCCTTAGTTCAGAGCCATCCCAGCAAGCTTGCAACACTTCCAATGCTGCTGCTCAACCAGCCTCTTGGTCATCATATCAGCAGGCTGCGCCGTCGTCTTCACGTAGTGCAACTCCACTTCACCCGAGGTTACCATGCTCCTCACCCAATGCCACTTCACCTTCATGTGCTTGGTAAGGCCATGAAGAACCGGATTCTTAGCCAATGCAATAGCACACTGGCTATCAGAATAGAGTGGGGTAGGTCCTTGCTGCTCCTCCCCCAATTCAGCTAGCAAACGCTGCTGCCACACAACCTCTCTTATGGCACGGAAGAGTGCCATGCATTCGGACTCCACCGAGCTCAATGCTTGGTCCACTTGTTTCTTGCTCTCCCAAGCTGTTGGCCCTCCACAAACACAGCAGATGAAGCCTCCCACACTTTTCATGTCCTCTGGTTCTGATGCCCAAGATGCATCAGAGAAGGCGGTGAGAAAGAGCCTCCCGGGTTCGACTCCATCCGCACCCTTTTGACGCCTTTGTGCCGCCGTGGAGTATTGCAGTCCAACAGTTGCTGTTTGGCCAAGGTACTTGGCCACCCTCTCTCCAGCTGCTACCTGCTCCTCATTAGGGCATTGGACAACCCTAGCCAGCTGCCCGGTAGCAAAGGCTGCATCCGGCCTTGTGTGAACGGCCGCATACATGAGGTTGCCCACCAAGGAGTGAAAACGCCGCCTCTCCTCTTCACCAACACTTTCCTCCGCTGGTCCTTTCACATACTTGAACCCTGAGGGAAGAGGAGTAGCCACATGACCTTCACTCTTCCCAAAGTTTGCAGCCAAGGCCTCCAAGTACTTCTTTTGATGCACTCGCATCCACCGCTTCTCCACATCGCGCTCAATGTGAAGCCCAAGGTAGTAGTTGACGTCACCAAGGGTCTTGCACTTGAACTTGTCTTGAAGCTTCAGCATCACCTCCTTCACAAGGTCAGAGGAGGGTGAGAATATGAGGATGTCATCCACATAAACCACCATGAAGCTCCTCTGCTCCCCCTCGCCAAGCATGAACAAGGATTGATCGGCCGTTGAGGGAGTGAAGCCGATCGCCTCCAAGACTTCCCGCAGCTTGATGTACCATTGCCTAGGGGCTTGCTTGAGGCCATAGAGTGCTTTCTTCAGCTTCCATACTCTGCCACTCCCATCATTGTACCCCTCTGGCTGCTCCATGTAGGTCTCTTCCTCCAAAACGCCATTGAGGAAGGCCGTTACTATGTCCATTTGCTTCACTACCCATCCTTTGATGGCCGCCGCGGCGAAGAGAGTTCGAAGGGTTGTACCCTTCACCACAGGAGCATATACTTCATTGTAGTCCTTCTTCTCCTGCTGCTGGTACCCCTTGGCTACAAGTCTGCTCTTGTAGTGCTCAATGTTGCCGTCGGCGTCGGTCTTGCGCTTGAAGAGCCACTTGGAAGAAATCGCCTTACGCCCCGGAGGTAGGTTCACCAAGTCAAACGTGTCGTTCTCGATGATGCTCCCCATTTCTTCATCAGAGGCCTTCTTCCACTCCTTCCCATTGGGGCCCTCCCAAGCCTCCTTGGGATTTGTAGGCTCCCCTGGTATCTCCACCGGAGAGGAGAAGGCAAAAACGCACTCCTCGCTTTCATCTTCCGCATCATCACCTAGCATGAGAGCCGAACCGGTCAAGGTTGAGTTGGCTGGTCCTCCAAGCCGTTCATAGCTCAACCTATTGGGGGGCTGAGTCCCCCTTCTCCCCCTTCCTTCCTCCTCTGCTGCAGGAACTTGAATGCCCTCATGGCTTTGCGGTAAGTCCGGTCGGTTCCCGCGAGCACTTGTAGCACGAGGCGGAAGTGGCGGTGCACGCTCATTACCTTGCTGCACCTCCTCCTCCTCCTCATCCCCATTCATTTGGGGAGATTGCCTCGTGATTGTGCTGCTGCTACTCAGCTCCAAGGGCAGCTCCACATGCTCCAAGCTGGTCCTCTTCACCTCTCCAAGCCGCACACCAATCTTCGCTTGGTTCTCCGCCTTCCACTCCTTGTACGGTAAGTTCTCCATGAACTTGCAATCTCTGCTCACCAGGAACTTCTTGGTAAATGGGTCCCATAGAAGCCATCCCTTGCTGTTTTGGGCCATGCCCAGGTGCACGGCCCATGTTGCCTTGGCATCAAGCTTGTTGTGCCGAAGTATTTTCGGCACAAGTGCCATGCACATGCACCCGAACACCCGAAGCATATCCACCTTCGGCTTCCTTCCAATCCACTCCACATAGGGCACCCATTTGTCTTCTCCCACATGAGTCAAGGCTCTGTTCTTGGCCACACAAGCATGCCGCACCGCATCCGGCCAAAAGTAATTGGGAAGACCGGCTTCAATGAGAAGTCCCCGAGCCGTCTCCGTGAGTGTCCGATTCGCACGCTCGGCGATGCCGTTCATTGCAGGAGAGTAGGGCATGGTAAGAGAGTGTCTTATGCCCTGCTTCTTTAGCCAAGTTGAGAAGTCCTTGCTCAGGAACTCTCCCCCACGGTCAGTGCGAATCGCCTTCACAAGCCGGTCTTGTTGCCGTTCCACCATCGGCAACCAATCGGTCTTCACCGTCTCAGCTACGTCACTCTTCTTCGGCAGCACATACACCCAGGTCATGCGAGTGTAGACGTCCACAATGGTGAGGAATTACTCTGCTCCAGCAGCTCCAAGCTTCAAGGGGCCCACCACATCCATCACCACCTCATCAAGTGGTGCCTTCACCGTTGTCTCCGAGCTATGGAACGGGTAGCGGGTGAACTTGGCTTGCATGCATGTTGGACAGCCAAGCACCTCATTGGGCTCCCCCTTGACACGTATCCCACTGACCATCTCTTGCTTAACTATCTGCTGCAAAATGGGCAATGCCACATGCCCCATTCGCCGATGCAAGGTCAGCCAATCACACTCTCCCGTAGCGGAAGTCGGGTTGGAGAAAGCGGCATTCGCAATTGTGCCCCACAAGCTCTCTCCTTTCTCCTTCACCGCTGCTGCTTTGTTGATCTTAGCCTTCTCCTCCTCATTTCCACCACCTTTGGCTGCTGCACCATTCTCCTTGGGTTCACACGCCTTGCTGGTCTCTCCAAGGTTGCACTCCTTCGAGTTACTCTTGGTGTCACTCTGTTTTCCGTGATCACCGCCACCAACCGCTTCACGCTTGGTGCTGACGCTTGCTGCCACTTGCCTCTCTTTAGGCATGGGGACCACTGGGATTTGCCACATCTCATTGTAGATGTCCCTGTCTTCATGAAGGTCCCAAAGCTTCCGCTCACCAAGCCTTGCGGTATAGGTTTTGGATCCCTTGGAAGATGTGTCCATGCCGGCCTTTTGCAAACGCCGAACGGAAATCAGGTTGGCTGCTAGGTTGGGCACCAAAAGCACGTTCTTGAGGCCCACCATCTTCCCATCAGCACCCTTGAACATGGCCTTGCCCATGCCCTTCACCTCTGCTCGCTGCCCCAAAGCCGATGTAACATGCTTGACGGGCGACGGTTCGAGTTCGGTGAGCAAGTCCGCACGAGGTGTCATGCTGTAGGTGGCGCCGCTATCGATCACCCAAAAGTCCAGAGAGTGAAGGGTGACCTTTCCCACAGTAGCTGGCTTCTCAAAGCCTTCACACCTCCTGCTGCAGTTGCCGCTTGCGTGGAGACTGATGGAAATCGTGCAAATCTGGAGAAAATTAATTAGAGATTAAGTCTGACGATCTTAACGGAACATTGCGTACAGCTCAGGTAACTTCTAGAAATGAGCTTATACGCGTTGGAAAGGTCTTAATCTCTAATTTCCAGAATGGTAAAGCACGTTCATAACCAAGATCTGAGCCGCCGATTATGACGAAATCAGTGTGAGGAGATATCCTGGTAATTTGGCTAGGCAGCCATGAATGACCTAGTCAAAACGAGAGGGGCAGCAGTTAGATCTGGAAAATTTGGAGAATGAGATTGTCAAACACCACCAACCCTCGCCCTGGACCAAACCCTAACACCCCCAAGTGCCACATCTGCAACATCAAAGATGTTGTAGTGGGTTTGGGGTTGTATGGATTGGAAAGGTAACGAGATCAAACCTAGCCAACCAACCCACGTCTTTTGCCCAAATCCCAATAGCCCACAACCAGCTAGAGCAAACTACACCACAGAACACTACACATTTATCACTCCCCCTTGCTCGTGCTGGGTGTGGCTCAACACCATAGGGCAAAAGACTTCACACCACTCCCCCTTGCCCATGGGTTGGGGCCACCCAGAGCATGGAGTCCGCCAAGGAGAGGAGCACCAAGACGCCGGCATCTGCTGCGGGAACTCTGTCATCATGGGGCTGCATCCCGAGCAAGGTCATGCACACACTATGACGCTCAAATGGAAGAGACTTGGTAAGAATATCAGCAGCCTGCCGGTTGGTGGGGCACCACTGCAAAATCACCTCACCCGCAGCTACCATCTCCCGAATGAAATGCCACCGGACCTGCATGTGTTTGGTGCGGCCATGCAAGCATGCATTCTGTGCAAGGGCAATGGCAGACTGATTATCCACAAACACAGGCACACCACCAGCATGATCTTGGCCAAACTCCCCAAACAAACGCCAATTCGCAATTGTGCCGCTTTCATGCTTGCCGCCAATTCGCGACGGCGGAAATCTTCTTGTAAGATTTCCCGCTTCACATCTTCGAGTGAGAGACGGGGCAGATCTCGATTTAGGTTGATGATGAGCAAGGACCATGAGTCCGGAAGTAAGGCCAGCAACTTGGTCTTCTTTTGAAGGTCACTGTAGTTCAGATCAGCTCCTTCGAGCCGTGTCAACAAGTCGAAGAATTTCTGCACTCCTTCCTCCACCGGTTCGCCTTCGTCAATTCGAAGTGCCGCCATTTGCCGCTCCAAAACCACAGCCACCGCCGCTGTTGCAGGAGCGTGTACACCCTTGAGAGCAGCCCATGCCTTTGGTCCCTTTGCTGGTTCACGCTGAAAAGGCTTGATGTGATGGATTTGGCTGCTTCCCAACGCTTGCCCAAGTAGAAGGTAGCCTTGTGCGCTCTTCCGCACCCACGGACTCTTCTCCGGGTCGTTCTCGGGGCGCTTCTCCGTTCCTTCCATCACCTCCAGCAGATCATAGTGCTCAAAGATGTTCTCCATCTTGAAGGACCACTCAGCAAAGTTGTCACCGTTGAACTTGTCAAGGCCAAACACTCTAGGCTCATCCCTAGAGGGTCCAAGGCTAGGTTGCACCGGAGCAACGGGTGGATCTTGGTGTTGACCTTGTGCTTGGGCGTCTTCTCTGCCTCCAGCACCTCTGCCACCCCCTTCCTCAGGTATAGGCATGGTCGAGACGGCTCCAAGGGGCTCTGATACCACGTGTTATAATCACAATAGGCTCAGATGTGCCTATAATGAGAGATAGAGAGCACAGTCGGATTTCCGTCAGACGGCTTCAAATATTGATAACAATCTGCTCGCTACCTCAAACGGAGATCTGTAAGTTGGATCTGGAGGGCGTTGCTGTAGTCTATCAGCAGCAAGTTGAATCATAAAATGCCATGAAGCTGTGACGACGTTGTGGTGGTTTGACTGGCAGGAGGTATAGCAGCCACTATAGTCTTGGGGCTCTGATACCACTTGTTATAATTCGAGATGGAGATGGTTCCCAGCCTCTACATACCCGAAGAGCCAAGGTCCAGGTTGGTGGTACACCACCACAGAGTCCCCAACCATGAAGAGTCTCGAAACCAACCCTCCAAGGGGCTACATCAAGTGAAATATAACACTACACGAAGTAACGTTACTATTTTCACTATTTAATATTTATCCGCGTCCCTTGGGCTTGAAATCTTGAGCTCTTGTTCTTGGATCTGCAAGATAAATTCTTCTTGAGTTAATGGGGGCTTGCTGCACACACCTGCGATACGATGGACACTTGACACTCGACAAAATAGAAAGAACACATGCGACACACAAACGACGACTTGACATGCTATTTGTGAAACCTCGCTAATGTCTTGACCGACACAAACCACATTGTGATACACCATTCAAACACACACACAAGCACTGGATAGCAATGACATAGACTCACAATTCATTCCATGCCATGCATGCACACACACAAACAAGGACGACAAGCCGAGTGCAAGCCATAGGGTAGCACCAACAGCGTCCGGGGGAGACGTACCGAGAGAGGACACAAACCGGGTAAGCCAAGTCTGGTCGAGTGCACATCTTGGCATACATGAGTGAACCGACTAGCTCAGGGTACAGGTCCTTGCAGGCGTCAGGAGAAGGAACTGGAGGGGCCGTGAGCTGATGCTGTAGTGGGAGTGGAGTGGAGACAGAGTTACTGGAGTCCATGTCGAACCGCTTGAGAAGGTTGTCGATGTAGGACTCCTGGGAGAGGGTGATCCTGCAAGCCTGGCGGTCACGAGTGTCAACACAAGCCGTGGTGCTCAACATCTACTTGGTATAAAACCTTAGTCTTGGCACTTACCTTTGACTTGGAACCTAGTTTTCGGCTTGGTAAATCCAACTGACTCGGTAGTCAACCTTGGTCATCGGTCTAACCATAGACAAGATACTTGACGCAAGGCTTGCTACTTACGAGCACATGGTAGTGAACGTCGGGTTTGGTACTTATCCCTTACCTTGACTTGGTACTTACCATGGACACGAGTGTTAACACAAGCCGTGGTGCTCAATATCTACTCGGTATAAATCCTTAGTCTTGGCACTTACCTCTGACTTGGAACCTTGCTTTCGGCTTGGTAGATCCAATTGACTCGGTACTCAAATTTGTCATGGGTTTAACCATAGACAAGGTACTTGAGGAAAGGCTTGCTACTTACGATGCACATGGTAGTGGACGTCAGGTTTGGTACTTATCCCAAACCTAGACTTGGTACATACCATGGACACGAGTGTCAACCCGAGCCGTGGTGCTCAACATCTACTCGATATAAAACCTTAGTCTTGGCACTTACCTCTGACTTGGTACCTAACTTTTGGCTTGGTAAATCCAACAGACTTCGTACTCAAACTTGGTCATGGGTCTAACCATAGACAATGTACTAGACGCAAGGCTTGCTACTTACGATGCAAATGGTAGTGAACGTCAGGCTTGGTATTTACCCCTTACCTAGACTTGGTACTTACCATGGACACGAGTGTTAACCCAAGCCGTGGTGCTAAACATCTAATCGGTATAAAACCTTAGTCTTGGCACTTACCTCTGACTTGGAACCTAGTTTTCGGCTTGGTAAATCCAACTGACTCGGTACTCAACCTTGGTCATGGGTCTAACCATAGACAAGGTACTTGACGCAAGGCTTGCTACTTACGATGCACATGGTAGTGAACGTCAGGTTTGGTCCTTACCCCAAATCTAGACTTGGTACTTACCATGGACACGAGTGGTATCCCAAGCCGTGGTGCTCAACATCTACTTGGTATAAAACCTTAGTGTTGGCACTTTCTTCTGACTTGGTACCTAACTTTTGGCTTGGTAAATCCAACTGACTCGGTACTCAACCTTGGTCATGGGTCCAACCATAGACAAGGTACTTGACGCAAGGCTTGCTACTTCTCATGCACATGGTAGTGAACGTCAAGTTTGGTACATACCCCAGACCTAGACTTGGTACTTACCATGGAAACGAGTGTCAACCCAAGCCGTAGTGCTCAACATCTACTCGGTATAAATCCTTAGTCTTGGCACTTACCTCTGACTTGGAACCTAGTTTTTGGCTTGGTAAATCCAACTGACTCGGTACTCAACCTTGGTCATGGGTCTAACCATAGACAAGGTACTTGACGCAAGGCTTGCTACTTCCGATGCACATGGTAGTCAACGTCAGGCTTGGTACTTCACCCAAACCTAGACATGGTACTTACCATGGAAACGAGTGTCAACCCAAGCCGTAGTGCTCAACATCTACTCGGTATAAATCCTTAGTCTTGGCACTTACCTCTGTTTGGTACCTAACTTTCGGCTTGGTAAATCCAACTTACTCGGTACTCAGCCTTGGTAATGGGTCTAACCATAGACAAGATACTTGATGCAAGGCTTGCTACTTACGATGCTCGTGGTAGTGATCGTCAGGTTTGGTTCTTACCCCAAACCTAGAGTTGGTACTTACCATGGACACGAGTGTCAACCCAAGCCGTAGTGCTCAACATCTACTCGGTATAAAACCTTAGTCTTGCCACTTACCTCTGACTTGGTCCCTAGCGTTCGGCTTGGTAAATCCAACTGACTCGGTACTCAACCTTGGTCATGGGTCTAACCATAGACAAGGTACTTGACGCAAGACTTGCTACTTACAATGCACATGGTAGTGAACGTTAGGTTTGGTACTTATCCCTTACCTATATTTGGTACTTACCATGGACACGAGTGTTTACCCAAGCCGTGGTGCTCAATATCTACTCGGTATAAATCCTTAGTCTTGGCACTTACCTCTCACCTGCAACCTAGCTTTCGGCTTGGTAAATCCAACTGACTCGGTGCTCAACCTTGGTCATGGGTTTGACCATAGACAAGGTACTTGGCGCAAGGCGTGCTACTTGGTAGTGAACGTCAGGTTTGGTACGTATCCCAAACCTTGACTTGGTACTTACCATGGACACGAGTGTCAACCCAAGCCGTGGTGCTCAATATCTAGTCGGTATAAAACCCTAGTCTTGGCACTTACCTCTGACTTGGTACCTAACTTTTGGCTTGGTAAATCCAACTGACTCGGTACTCAACCTTGGTCATGGGTCTAACCATAGAAAAGGTACTTGACGCAAGACTTGCTACTTACAATGCACATGGTAGTGAACGTTAGGTTTGGTATATATCTTAAACCTAGTCTTGGTACTTGCCATGGACACTGCATAGTTCGGTTTCTTAGAAATAGACTGCAAATACCACTTTTGTATTTGTACTTTTATATCTTAGTTTAGGTTATGAATGTTCTAGTGGGTTAGGGTGTACTCACAAATCCCAACCTCACCCAATTGTGATTGCGGTTGCGGAGCTGGTTGCGGAGCTGGTTGCGGAGCTGGTTGCGGAGCTGGTTGCGGAGCTGTGTAGCTGCGGGACAGGGCCTGGGGGTGTGAAGGGAGGGTGTGTCTGTCCGGGGTTTGACTTAGGCTCAGATTTAGTTTCAAGTCGGTGCTTAAACAAATTCCCGTCGACGCCATTTCCTTCTTAGCGGCATTTCGGCAAAGCCGTCAATGTGATTTTCAGCAATACTCATCCACCGATTTACTCAACCACTTCACTCGCCAACCCGATCTTTCTCCTTCGTCTGGAGCCGGACGGTACATGCTCCAACTACAAGGCTTGGCGCTATTGTGTTGACAAGCACCTCCTCAGTCGCGGGGTGAAGGGGCTCGAGCTCACCGACGTCCTTCTCAACATCGGTGACGGCAAAGAGCCTCCTAAACCCGAGAGGTCCGCCGATCCAGCTAATGCCGCCACCGAAGCAGTTTATGCTGCTGCACTTCTCAAGTACAAGAATTGGGAGAAGGCCGATGGTGCGGTCATTAGTGTCTTCATGGGCACCACTCCTCCCGAACTCGTCGAAACCTACCACAACAACCCGTCTGCCAACGCCATTTGGCTCTACCTCGAAGATCGCTTCCTGAACAAGACTGCAGTGGGAGTTGCTATACTCATCCCCAGCATGTTCCAAGTGCGGCTCGAGGACTCGCCAGGCATGGCGGACTATGTCACCAAGGTGCAGTCCATTCATGGTGAACTCAAACAGTTGGGGATAGTCTTCCCCGAGCAAGCCCCTGCAGCCGCTCTCCTAGTCGGCCTCACTCCGGCATACGAAGTCACACGCAAGATGCTCTTGGGCCTTGCTCCTGCAGACCTCACATTTGCCAAGGTCTCATCCGCGCTCCTTTCTGCCGAAAAGGACAACAGCGCTTAAGCCAAGGCCAGTGCAATCCGCGCTCCCGTGCCTCAAGCCTATGCCGCTTCGGCGCCATTCCAGCGCAACCGCTTCCCCCCGTGTCCCTACGTCATCAAGCGCGGCCCTCGTGCTAGCCAGGTGTGTGGCGGCACCAACCACGGCCTTGCCTCCTGCTTTAGGAGGCTCTTTGCCGTCACCGATGTTGAGAAGGACGTCGGTGAGCTCGAGCCCCTTCACCTCGCGACTGAGGAGGTGCTTGTCGACACCATAGCGCCAAGCCTTGTAGTTGGAGCATGTACCGTCCGGTTCGAGACGAAGGAGCGGGATCGGGTTGGCGAGTGAAGTGGTTGAGTAAGCCATTGTCGGTGTGCAGCGCGGCACTTCTGGAAATTGGTCGACGAGAATTGCTGAAAATCACTCTGACGGCTGTATCAAAATGCCGCTAAGTAGGAAATGGCGTCGGCGAAAATTCATTAAAACG